GTACTGTAATGTATTGTGAGGAATGTTTGCAGCAAAAAGTGAAAATGGCTGAGCATATGAATATGTTCCTGCCTGTTTCATGGAAATGAGAGGTGAATATGTTAGAAGAAAAATAAAAGGAAGTTACACACAGTGGGAATGCAATATTTAAATGTATAGGTTAAAAAGGGTAAAAATGAATGGTAAATAAATGTGAATTAGATACAAATGTGATTCATCAATACATAAAAGTGGCTTATATTAGAGAATGAATAAAGATTAAACTACAAAAATAAATATATGAAGGAAGAATGGAAAGAAAGAGAAAAGGAAAGGATGCCAAGAAATCTGTAGTTGGGTGGAGTCAGTGAGATCTTGAAAACAAGAGAGCTGAAAAGTTTAAAGAACAAAAGGCAGCGTAAGAATCTATGTATGGACTTAATGAAAGCAAGGAGGATTGCCAAAGAAAGAAATATGTGGAGAAGAGTAGGTAGTAGTGCTGATATAACAAGGTGCACCCAGATTATATTTTCCTATCTTGTGCCTTTAATTTCTTTCATAATTTTTTTTAACTCCTTTTCTGCAGTTTTGTAAGGTGACTTACGGTAAAAGGAAGTAAGACGTATGTATCTTTATATGTATGTAACCAGTTATAGTTAACCAAGGCTAATAACACCATTTGCAAATGGTTACTTAGATGTAGTGCTGCTATCTTCAGTGAGGGTTACTCCTGTGTGAATATGCATTTGACTCTTAGTATATATGCCATAATAAGTACTAAGTTTGATTTATGATACTTTTTCAATGGCATATATAAACCAATTTTCATAAGTCTCAGACTTTTAATATGACTTATGATAATTACTAAGCAGCTATGCAATCCTTTTAAGAAGCTACTAGATAACCTCTGATCCATTGGGTCATCATTTGAGAGAAACTGTACTTTCTCTCTCTCTCTCTCTCTCTCTCTCAAAAAAAAAAAAAAAAAGAATGAGCATGGGCAGGCAAAAAAGCAGTGGGAGCAGGAGTGATTTCTGACTTCAATTTCCCCATTGACTTTCCTAGTAGAAAGCTGGAAAGGAGCATTGGAAATGACAATCACATGATTGTAGCTGGCTGCAGCAGCAGCATGGTGGCATTAAGTAGGCCCCAACTTTGCCAAATTTCAATCCCACAGGAAGTCATGGATCCCAAAGTTTGGACATATTCCATAAGGTAGCCCATTTGAGGTACTTTGATTCAAAAATTATTGCTCTATGAGACACCATCCAACTGAAGGTTGCAAACAATCAGACAGGAAAGTGTCAGTAGTATATAGATTGTAAGAAAGTTGGTATGTATGATAATATGAATTCAAAATAAATGATTAAATCTAAATGTTTAAACACAGGGATTAAAATAATGGCAAGAAGCATGTTAGCTATTGATAACATGAACTTCAATATGGTAGGTCAATCCTTTCTCTTAGTTTTGTTATACTTTAGTTTTATCACAATCACTTTGCTCAAGTAAGTAGTTGCTATACCGGTGGTTCTACATCAGTGAAAATAAAGGGAAAATTGCTGTGAGCCAAAAAGCTATTAGAATACCTTAAAAGAAGCTACTACAAACCTCATCTGCTATTCCACAATAGCTTCCTTTTTTCCTGTCATGCCATTTCCTTAATTAATACAATATTAGCTAATTAAATGAAACAATTGCCCAGACACATCCAGGATACCAAGCAGAAAAGGAACCCTTCTCTTTTATTCATAATAGTACACACATGTTATCTCTCCCATTCTTTTACACAAATAATTGCCACCATATTCAAAACCCCATTTTAATAATCAAGGTTAATTGGGATCTGCCTGTGAAGCTCGGTGTGTTCTTAGAGTCATTTCAATTTGCTTTAGGCACCGTAAGCAATTTGTAAGGATCTCAATCCAAAAGAGTCTTAGAACCCTAAAATACAAAGTTTTGCTACAACAAATCATCTAAGCTTGGAGTAAGCAGTGGGGAAGGGTTAACAGTAGCAAGAAGAACCCCACAATCCAAGGCTGAGCATGGCTTAGTAAGCTGAGGCATAAAACCTGGTTAGAAATTTCACCATCCTTTGAGATGCATACCTCAGCCTTTTTTATATACATATATATATTCATGACTTTGACTTTGTCACTGTTTTATGCTGAACTGAGGAAAATTCTTTTCCAGGCTGCATCCCCTGATGTCTGTCTCTAAAATGTTCAGAAGTAAGGCATATGTTACAAAGAATTGTAGAAACTTGAGGAGGTCAGATTTATTTTAATTGCAGGATTTTTTTTTTCCTGGTGAATGGTGACTTTTACGAATGGCAAAATCTTATTTTCTAATGCATGTTTTTCGGCTGGTATTTTCAATTACATATTCAGCTATTCAATAAAAAATAAATTTTGTAATCTCACACCTTCAGCAGGCAAGGAAAGGATACAGAATATCCAGTAGTTTACCTTTCCTTTTTTTTCAGGAACTGACATCAGTAAGTCTTAGGAAGTCTTTGCGGTCTTAATACTTCGAGAAAGAATCTGAACTGCAAGATTTGCTAATCCACAGTTCTTACTGTGCTTCAGTACATTATTGATCATTTAATACTGGCTGATATTCCACAACTCCCTGATGAACAATCCTCATGTTTGGACTCTTGGTGATCTAAAATTAGCATTTTGATATTTTAGATATCTATTTTGAATAGGTATAAAGTCAGTAACATTTAATTTCTATTCTCAAAAATTCATAATGAGTAAATTCATAACTTCTGCTTTTCCATTGACCTCTGCTATTAAACCAATCAATACTGTATGGCCTGTTATAGTAATAGCAATAGCACTTTGACTTATATACAGTTCCACAGTGCTTTTACAACAGTCTCTGGTCAGTTTAAAATATCAGCATATTGTGCCCAACAATTTGGGTCCTCATTTTACTGACCTTGGAAGGATGGAAGGCTGAGTCAACCTTAACCCAATCAGGATTGGACTCCTGGCAATGAGCAGAGTTAGCCTGTAATACTGCATTTTAAATATGCACCACCATGCATAAGTGATATTCCACAACATCCTGCCTTATACAGTAGTGGCCAAAATTGTGGAAACCTTTTGGGAAAAGTATACAGTAGAGATGCCACCTTTAGTTAAGTTTCTGCCAATTTTTCTTCTAATTTCTTTATAACTGTAGCCTTGTTCATTTAATAATACTATTTTACATCACTTTCTGGGCAACCAGTCAACTCTTTGCACCATTACTTTAATTATATTACGTTTTACAAGCTTACTAAATGAAAGAACACAAAAAACCTAACCAACTTGATAGTGATCACAACAAACTCACAAATGTCCTCCTCTCAGCTTCAATACATGGCATCAATAACTGAATCCTACTGTGATCTGATTGGCTCATTGCCAAAACAAGATGACACCTGATTGGCTCACTAAACACTCATGCTCATTGGCTACAATCAGATAAAGGAAAGCTACCTGATATCAACCTAAGCAAGTTGTGCTTCCTTTTTTCTGGTTATTTGGCTATAACTTTGCATAGAATACAGTAGAGATAATTGAACAACCTTTGTTGCATTACATTCTTGATTAAATTATCTTTCCATTGATATATAATTTTATGGTACTACTCTCCAAAAAAGTGGTGTTATTAGCCATCAAACCTCAAAAATACAGTTTTCCCAAAAGGTTTCCACAATTTTGGCCACTACTGTACTATAATAATCACTAGAAACTCTAAAGGGTTTTTTGAAGAGGCTAATACTTTTTTTTGCCTTATTTCTTTACACACCCCCATATATATTTGGTGGTACTTTTAAGCAACCCAGTAAAAGAAGCTATAGCCGGAAGAATAGTAAATGACTCAAAATAATATTTGGAGGAGGAGAGATGAAGGAAAGATGTACAAAGGCAGCCTTTTTTAGAATAAAGAGGTATTAACACATCAAATCTTGATTACCATCATAGACCAGTATAAGGAGGGTGGGATACAACAAAATTTAAAAAGCATAAAAGTACATTAAAGTCTAATTTTTGAAAAGCTAAAATATTGAAAGTATATATGAAAACAAAAGTTAAAAAAAAGAACCTAAAGGGAGGAGTAGGAATAGTAAATGGATATAGGGGAACATAAAAGTTAGTACATGGCAAACTAAATTTATCACAGTACATAGCACTTTCAAATAATGAACTGTGATAAGTTAAAGGGGAATAAAACAAAAAGAAACATCAAAGTGTGGAATGAATCCTGCTTGTCTTGCATTTTTACCCTTATTCAAATACTTTTTTTCATTTTAGATAGCTTATAATTCCCAGGGCATTATTTATCCCAGTTGTCAGACACATAGGAACATTCTGTTTCTGGGGAAAATATAAGAATTGCGCAGTTGCTTCTTTCAAGGTCAGCCCTGTTCACTTCAGCTGAATTTACTTTTGTGTAAGTGTATTATCACAGCTAAAAGACGTAACTTGGAAACCAGTCCCATTAAAACCGATTGGATTGATATTCTGTAGTACTGAAGATACTGTTCTGATTGTGGCACAGAGCATGTACATCTAATGGAACAAGACTGTATTTAGGAGTCTGCTCGGTTTCCAAGCCCAGGATTGGGTTCTTTTTGGAGTTGTAACTTAAGAAAATGAGGAAGTATCAATAACAGCACAACATAACTGTAAATGAGGGTATGCACGTTCTAAATGTAGGCTCCTGTGAGAGATCAGGAAATGGAAATATTGCTGGTAGATAACTTAGGTGAAAATATCTTTCAAAGTAATTACATGTTCCCCAGATCAGAAATACTGTTTAGCTCCCCAAACCCCACCTAACTTTTAAAAATCTTTGTCACAGTTTGAGTAAACTATGGTTCTCTACACAGTATAGCTACATTATGACCTGAGAGTTTACATAAACTTACTCTGTATTTTTCCATGTAATTTTAACCATCCAACAGGATAAATATCCCAACCAAATTTCTGAATCCTATTAAAAGAAGGAAAATAAGGAAATACCTGGCTTGCCAGTGACTATGGTAGAATGAGACATAGGAAGGAGGAGGAGGACTGCAAACCAAAGCCATCCTATGCAAGATCCAATAGACTTCATCTCCTCTTGAACACATGTGAACAAATAAATGACCAGAAATCTGAAAAGAAAAACAAACATGATTACAGACTCTCTACCAATGCTTAGTGAACCTGGACATCTGTTGTGGATGCATAGCTGAATCATATACAACATCGGTGGTATAATTATGAATAGCCAAAGGGTTAGGAGTTTCCCTACTTTTTGAGTTATTATCTCATAGCTACTGTTTTAGGAGGAGAGGAGAGATGATTGGGCTAAAATGGGGAACAAATAAAGAGGATTGTGGATTTTACAGCTATCTTTTCTGCTGCATGGCTAGCCCACATGAAATTAATGAAGCAGACTGTGCTGACCATGATTTCAGCTTGATAGTCTATTATTAAATGGAGCATGGTAAAAAGAATAGCTTACTTTGTAACATCCATTCAACCAAACAGCAAAATTAGTGCCGAATATTCTTTTCTTCTTTCTTTTCTTTTTCTTTTATAAATTAGGCGTTATTAAATTTTTGTAAAGCTATAAAAAAAACCCACCTCAGCCAAGGAACTTCTTCTTCTGTTCCCACCCATCCTCATCATTTAAGCTACACTGTAGTGAGTGATATAAAACCAGAATAATTATGAACAATCAGAATAAGCTTTTCACACGCACATTTATATAGACTTTACCCATAAACACATCCAGCAACATATCCTAGAGAAAGAAAAGGTGTGTGTGAGCAATTACAAGATAGAATTCCCTGCTATGTACTAATTATCATAAAGATCTAAAAATGGAGATGAAATGTTTGTATATTAGCCAAGAATATCTTAATGATCAAAACTGTATCTTTTTCTTAATTGCCAGAGCTAATCCTCCATCATTTTTCTGAGGAATGGACAATCTCCAGTTTTTGAGAATTGTATTTTTGACTGTAACAGCTGTTCTGAAATAATTTGTTTTCACCCTTGTAATTATATTGATAGTTTTTGTTCATAAGGCTACTTTATTTTACTTTCTGGAATATTTTTTTTATTTAGGTATGGAGTTATCAAATGAATATTATTGTTTTACATTTTGGTTACCTTTTGATCTACTATAATTATAGATTATTTTGTTAACTTTGCTTATTGAAATAACTAATGTCTGACAGCAATACAGCTGAAATTACTTAAACTTTTTTTACAGCATTATAAAAGATTGTTAAGTAGAAACAAAGAATCTATTTCAAACAATCTCTATCATCAGGGTGACAGTAACACTACAGAAAAAGCAATAATATAGTCATTGAATTTTACAGAGGGAAAGATCTCTTTCTCAACTACTTTTAAAAGACCGATGAGTAATAAGTTTCAGGCAGCTGCACAAAGATTATAAGCCATTAAATTATTAATAACAGCAGATTTACATTTTTATTTCAGAGTTTTTGCCTTTATTATTTCAATTTAAGTAGAATGCATTCACTACAGCAGAAGGTTGACCTAGTCATCATATTAGACTGAATGTATCTTTCCTATATTTAGATTTAAAGGGATAAAAGCAAAATTAAGATTTGAAAGTATTTTACAAATTATGTTTTTGTTCTACACATAATTGTGACTTTTGAGAGTGTTAGAATGAATGAAAAAAGTATTAGAATGAATGAAAAAACAACCCTGGTAAGTAAGCAAGTAAATATGTGTGTGTGTGTGTGTGTGTGTGTGTGTGTGTGTGTGTGTTCCTTTAATAAAGATTATATAACCCTATGAATATGAAAATTATGTTCCTGAAAAAAAAATCATCACAATTTATTCATGCCATCTGCATTTTATGACATTAATTTTATCTTTATGAAGGGAGGATTATCTGATAATAATAAAAAACAATTAGCAAGAATAATTCAGAACAGAATATATTTGCCTTTAATTTTGGAAACCCACATAAACACATAAACAATTTTTGGAAACCCACATAAACAAAAATTAAAAGCAGTGAAATCCAGAAAAAAGTATGTTTTGTTTAATTTCCAGAGGAATAAACACCTCCATCTGTTTATGGGTGCAGGACTCACAACAAAATTGGAATCACCTACATATGAGAGGCTTGCACACTGCTTAATTTAAGGCAGTGGTTCTCAACCTGTGGGTCGGGACCCCATTTGGGGTCGAATGACCATTTCATGGGGGTCGCCAAACCACACTGTCCGCCATTTTTTTCCCTTTTCCCTAGCTGTCCTACTCCCTCTTATTGGTGGCCACACCCACTTGGGGGTCACCACAACATGGGGAACTGTATTATGGGGTCACGTCATTAGAAAGGTTGAGAACCACCGATTTAAGGTGTCCCAGGCCTTGCTTTACAAACGTTTACTTGAAAGGCTGCCAAAAGATGGTCTAGACCAGGGGTCTTCAAACTTGGCCCTTTTATGACTTGTGGACTTCAACTCTCATAATTCCTCAGCCAGCATGCCTGGCTGAGGAATTCTGGAAGTTGAAATCCACAAGTCATAAAAGGGCCAAGTTTGAAGACCCCTGATCTTGACTAGCGCTGATGATATTACCTAGTTTGGAATTAAATGTCTGTGAGAAAACAACCAAGCTCAGAGATCACCAAGCACCCCTCATTTCAACCTTAAGCTACAAATATTCTCATTTATTGTCTTTCGTGCTGGGCATCCTCTTTTGGAAGTGACAAACTATCTTCTCCCTCTCTGGCAATGGAGCACATTCATGCCTGCCTAGATACATCCGCAAACTGGTGTTTCTACTCATCTGAAACTGACTCTCTCTCTCTCTCTTCCTTCCTACCATGACTCATCTATTTACAAGGTTTGTACAGGGAATCATCTGGAGGATGCTAGCAAAATTATCCTTCCCCATGCTCCTCAAGTTTTCATCCTCCAAAAAATAACATTCCCCTCCATGCCACAGCACAGTTAATTTGTCCATTACATTCTGGCTTTTTATGCCCCAGTAATCTTAATTGCTTCTTTGAGTTTGTGTAAGCTTCTATTCATGTTATCAGTGAAAGTATCCAGTAGACACCCAGTGTTTGTCAGCCTCTTTTTCCATTGCCTTCAATTTTTCTATGCAACAGAATCTTTGCCAATGATTCTTATTATTGTATTATGAATCCAAAGTATTTTAGCTTTTGCTTCAATATTAGAGCATTTATTCAGTTTTATTTCGTCTAATACTGAATTATGTTCTTGGGGCCCACAGCATTATCAATATTTCCCCCGATACCACATGTTAAAAGAATCAGTTTTTCTCCAGGTTTCTGATGGTGCAACTGTGGGAAAAAACCATAGTGATGATGGCAACTTCTTGCTTAATACTCATCTATGAGAAACAGATATTCTTTTTGTGTAGCTACAGTACAGAATCCGATAATTCCAGCCCTCCTCTGCAGAATATACAGATAAATCTTGATTGTTTTAAATTTAGGGGAAGAACTCATATAGAACCTGGGAAAGAAAGTTAGGAAAAGGAAAAGACTCATTCTTCCATTACCCACCAGCCTTAGATTAAAATTTAGAATTTTAGAAAAAGAGAAGTACATCTAAAATGAAACAACTCTTTGCTTCCAGGAAAAAAAAATTACTTCTGTAGAAATAGATAAATATGTTCTAGCCAACATTTGCCTTAGACTCTTTCTTTCTGCCAAATGTGTTAATTCATCTATGCAAATTATGAAAATGAATGTATAAACTCCACGCTCTGCATGAAGATACATTCATACTCCACGCTCTGCATGAAGATACATTTTTTTGAAATCTTGGCGCAGTAATGGCAAATCTATGGCACAGGTGCCAGAGGCGGAACTCAGAGCCTTCTCTGTGGGCACGTGCGCCATTGTCCCAGTCCTAGCCTTGAGTTGGGTTTTATAAAACCTTTTCGCTTTAGGTCTCCACCGCCATGTACAAAAAAAAAAAGGTTCAATCAACCAGTCAATTTCAACTTCTCGCGGGAAAATAAAGATCTTGCAAAGTTGGAATTGATTGATTGAACTTTTTAGTCCCACCCAGTCTGCTATTACCACCGCAGCCATGCCCACCCAATGGGCCACACCCAGCCAATGGGCCACACCCACCCGGCACCCGATGATGCATAAGTGGGTTTTGGGTTGCAGTTTGGGCACTCGGTCTCTAAAAGGTTTGCCATCACTGTCTTGCCGTTTGTATATTAACCTGGAATACCTTCCTGGAGTTTACTACAGAAATTCTTTTGTGTAGCAAACCACTACCTTCTTGTAGTCTGCCCTGAGCATATTTTTTTTAAGCAAGTAGCATTTTTTTTCCCGAGACTGAATGTTTGTTATTTGGGAAATTTAAAATTTAAAAAGTTTTTTCAAAATTTATATTTTCTCTTTTTTTTTCAATAAAATTTGATTTTGTTTATCTCCTATGGGATCAGCTGATTTTCCACAGGGGAAAAAGAAGGGCAGTAACTTCTAGTCATGCATGGCCAGGATTTTATACTACTGAAATTATTTTAGTTTCTTTGCAATTTTAGAGTTAATCATTAGAAAGTGGATACTGATTATGAGAATTCTCTCTCTTTTGCATACTGGTTTTATCGGAAGTGTATTAGGTAAAGGTGCCCTCTGAAAAATAGTTGTTAGCAGTGGAAAGAATTTTTTTAACAGATTATCCAATTTTTGCTAATTGAAATATAGAGGGGTGATTTGATTGAAGCTGAATGTGAGAAAAATGAACCATTTAATTCAGCCTCATATTTCATTCCTGATCAAAATTCTCTTTCCAGGAATTTCCCCCCGGAAAAGGCAATCAGCAACTGAGAACAGAGCATCACTGAAAGTGCTAATGCTGATGAATGCAGCATTACTACCAAAAGACCCATTTCGATTTTAAAAAAATCTGCTGGAAATTCATTCTTCACACTTAAGATACCAGGTCTTGAAAATCAGCCCCACCTATATGAACCTCCAGATTTCCTGTGCTGTTTTGCATCATATCCACCACTTCAGATGTGAGACAAAATGTTTTAAGTCTTCCCTGAATCTGCATCTATGCATGACTATATTTTTATTTATTAATTAGGTGTATGTATGTTATATTTCCTCTAGAAGCTCAAGATAGTATTCATGACATGTCCTCCTTCAATTTTCTCCTATACAAGGACGATCATGTGAGGTAAATTGGACTAAGAGAGGTAGATTGGCCCAAAGCCATCCAAGGAGTGCCCATGACTAAGGGGAGTTTATTGGTTTATTGATACTGGCAGGTCTGAAAAAGAATATTAAATCCTTTGAGAAGGCAGAGTTCTGTTCAAACATCTGCCCTTAGAGGTTCCAATGTTCTTTGCAGAAAGAACTGAAGGAGAAGAAAACTGGAGGTTGGTTTTCTCTTATTTCATAAGAAGCATCTCAATAATTATGATAAATGTCTCATAGTTTTCTGGAAAAAATTGCCTGCCAAGAGGTTCTTGCTTTAGTTGTTTAAAAACAACGAGAATCGTCTTTAATGAATTTTGGTTATACTTGTTTCCTTCTGTGCAACTGTATTACTTTTTCTAGCGAAAGAAACACTTTTACATGTAATAATACAATATTTATATAACAACACAGAGAAATTCAACATTGCGAGGATAGCCAAGTGGGAAAAAAGCATATGCTTAAATTCTTTATTGCCCCTATGGCAAAACAGTCTTATGCAGAACTCCACAAATCTATTAGCCTATGGCTATTCTGACACATAATTTTCTAAGTGAAAGACATTAGATGAGTCAGCAAAGCTAGCCCTCAACTTACAACCACAACTGAGCCCAAAATTTCTGTGCCAAGTAAGACATTTGTTAAATGAATTTTGCCCCATTTGATGAACTTTCTTGCCATAGTTGTTAAGTGAATTACTGCAGTTCTTAATTTAGTAACCCCATTGTTAAGTGAATCTGGCTTCTCCATTGATTTTGCTTGAGAGATGCTGATAAATAGTGATTACATGACTCCAGGACACCACAACCATCATAAATCTGAGTCAGTTGCCAAGCGTCTGAATTTTGATCCCATGACCATGGGATGCTGCAATGATTGTTAAGTGTGAAAAATGGCCATGTCACTTTTTTCAGTACTGTTGTAACTTTGAACGGGCACTAAATGAACCGTTGTAACTCCAGGACTACCTGTATGGTGGAGAGTCTAGAGGAGGTGTCACTTAATCTGTATTTGCTGATGACTCTCAAATGAGAGGTAAGCAACTTGATGTAGGCTAAGAGGTGTAAACAATCATTTTGCAAGCACAATAACTGCATATTCAGTAAAAAAAAAAAAGGCAGCAGAGAAGCAATCGCCATGTTTGCGAGCAGGGAGAATACCCTCCTGTTGATTTTCTACTTTAGGAAATGTTGATTTGTTAAAACAAGGAGACTTTCATCGACGGAAAAAAAGAGTTGGTAGTCTTAGTCAATAGACCTAGTTGCCCCATGGGTCAGGATGAAGACCAAGTACAAAAGACAAAATCTAGTGCTATCTGAATTAACTCCTATTTTACATCCATTGCCTTACCTGAGCAAGAATGTTCGGGCATGTTCCCTTGACATGGAAATATGTCCCCTTTCCTTTGACATGGATCTTCTTACCAAGCTCCAGTATCCAAGCTAGTGTTTCCTCTTCTGACTTTTACCTTCCTCTCTGAAAACTCAGGCACCCATGACCAAAGTTGGATTGGAAAAATGGTCCATCGCCCAGCCTCTTGCTCTAGGATTGGCACTTCTTTTGCAGCTGTGTAGAGGGGAGGGGAAGGTGCTGCCCTTGTGCCTGACTTCTTTCCCAAAGTTCCCAGGGAGATCACACTCAGAAGACTAATAAGGAGATAAGCAAGCTAGCCGCAACCACTCCCAGACTGAATCATTTTAGATTGCCTGTGCAAGGGCTTATTTCCCTTGCGCCCCCAAGTCACTGCTTGCAATTTAAGTGATCTATGGAGTCTGGCTGGTCCATCTTCCCATTTAGGCCTGGTTGATACAGGTAGCAGATTAATATAGTAATGGGGGGGGGGAAGCAGATGCTACGTGGCCCTGATTCAAATGGCAAGGGGAAGGTCGTGCATTTCAAAGCTCTTCCACGTTTAAAAGATTTGTTCACCAACCATCAAGAGGATTTCAAAGAGGCGGTCTTCACCTGCAATTTGAACTTTGATGTATTACCTTACCCCAGCTATTACTATCTCATTTAATCAGAGTTATTGTGATCGGGCCTTAAAGGTACACCTTGAGGTAACTTAGTAAAAGCCTGCCGCTGACTCTTTAGCAGCTGGTACAGTTATCGTGTTTTCTTTTTCTGATCTATTTAAAAGCAGGCAGGCCTAGAAACCTTTTGGGGAGGAGTTGATACCAGTGGTCATGAAGACAGGAATGTTTTTACCTCTTTAATAAGTACAATATATCCCATCTATGGTATTATTAGAGTCATAAAGAAGAGCCACTAAAAAGAAGTCATCTCAACGTCCTAAGCCAGCATGTCTTCTTGTGACTACTTCCTTGCTATCAAAATGTACAAAGACCTTGATGTTTCTATTTTAAGCCATTTTCACCCTGATTAACACCACCCAACACCTTTTCCATTGGGAAACTGCATGCTTTCATCACAGTTCTCGTAAAGCCACAACATGAACATGTAGCCCAAACTGAGGACAAATTCAGTTACACTCATATGTCAGAAAAGTGTGAACTCTGGGCGAATTCCAGCCACAGGCTAAGAAAAGTGGAGCAATTTTACAAGGAACCAAGACAAATGTTTAGGATAATTCACAGGTTTGTTTTTAGGCATAATGGGGAAGCAAACAGAGCGCAGTTTCAAGTCTTCATAAGTGTATGCCACTCTTAGGTAAACTCAGAAGAACTAATCCCTGAGGGAATTCTGTCATATTGAGGCAAAAAGCAAAGTGAAAAAAGGACTCACATCTGCTTCTGCCTCAGGAGGCTCTCTCCAAAGCTACGATTAAAATAGTGAGGGTGGCTCTAGGACTGCAGAAAGGAGAAAAAAGAAAACTGCTTTTGTGGACTTTGTACATTTTTAAAAATAGTTTTGTCCTCTACGAGTGCTAAGTCAAGCACATTGTGGAATAGCTGGGCTCTTATACCTAACCAAGATGAGATACGCATCAGACCTACACTTATTGTGGTGTGAGGTATAGGGTGAGAATGCCTGGGCTATCTTTTCAGCATAGTAATGAGATGAACAATGGAAGTGTAGTAAGGTTGTACTCTGAAATCGGCAAGCATCTTTACATTTTTCTTTATTAATAACAAAGAGAAAAGAAGCACAATTCAAATAAAGGGTAGCCTATTCAGAGCCTTCAGATTAGAACGGGGCATTTAAAATTCTTCCCCTTCACAGAAATGGTACTCTCTAACCTTTGCTGAAAGCAATGCCCTAGATACATTTGTGATTATGCATAACAGCAACACAACACAGCAGAATAGGAAAGTCTTCAGAAATAGCATCAATGGGGAAAGATACCATTTCGACTCAAAATAAAATCACAAGTGAAATGGAGCGGTTCCTTTAACTGAACACTAGAAATTCATTTACAAATAATGATGCACTTTATCCTGTTTGCTTCGTCTCAGAGAGATCGCTCTCTTGATCCCAAATCTTCAAAATAGCACAAGAGAGCGAGAGAGTTTGATCCAGTACAATGCAGAAGCACTGTAGCTTCTCTTGGGAAACACAACCCATTAAAATTCCAGCATTCCTTTAAGCTGTACCTTTATTCCACTGAGTGTCCTACCTACACAATACATATTTCAGCACTGAGGTCCAGTTATGAAAAAGAGCAATAGGCACCTCAACACACATACACACACTTAAGAGCAGTTTACTTTAAACATTCTAGAAAGTGAACGAAAACTCTCCGTAGAATTCATTCTCGCTCTACCAGCTTGTATACATTAAACCTTAGTTTTCAACTGGGTCCCGTGCTCTCAGAAGAGGCAACGCAGTTTCAGTCAAGGTTCTTGTGCAAACAAACGCCTGCTCTGCCATCACAAAACTCGGCAAGCTGCATGACATAATCAGCATCAAAGAAGCAATCTATTTATCGGCAGGCAATCTATCACACAATTCACCGAAAGCTCCCTTAAATGCTGACAAAACTCAACAGCAGAGCAGAGAGTACTTGTGGGCTAGATTTGGCATAAATCAGCTGGTCATAAAGAAGAGGCTCTTACCTTCGATTTTTATTTATTAAGTTTCCCCCAGAAGCAGAGCCAAGGCCAGTACAGAGCTGCTGAGGAGTTGCTGGAGTCTCTAAAGAAAGGGAAAAGGGGGGTGCAGCTCTGTCCTTATTAGTCTCACACAGTGTGACCCTCCCACTCAGCGGAGACTGAGAATCTAACTGTATGACAGGGCAGCCCTGAACTCCGGCACTGGGTTTCTACCCAAGCCTATGCTAATAGCTTGCAAATCTGGTAATAATATTAAAAGAGTTAGGTTTGTGTCACGGAGAGCTCTGCCTGGGTATGACTGCTGTCTGAAAGAAAGGGTGTCTGGTTTCACCACGTTGCCTCTGAAGTCCCACACTCGATCCAGGCACAGCAGGGAAGTCTTCCCATGCATGTTAAATGTGGCCGCATCTAGTCAATTTGTCAGACTTGGTCATACCTTGCACATCAGCTACTCTTACTTACGGCACTGATGCTGCAGAGAAGCGGGGATGGCTGCTATCTGATTTGATTTTGGGGAAGCTCATTCATCGCAGGGCAGAAGGTTCGTACCCTGCAACATCACTGACAGGAAAAAAGTGGAGTGGTGCCTAGCCTCCCCGTTAATTCTCCTTTCCATACAATGTGAGAAAGGGTGCTTCCAGAGAATTCTCCTGACAATTTCTATAGTTGCCTTTTTGCATTTAACTAAAAGATAAAAGGAGAGTGAGAAAAATGAACTGATTGTTACACACACCTAGGGAGAAGAACAGGGTCTCGGCAGATATAATATGTATACCTACATATGGAATACTTCCCTTAAAAATTCTCTACTTCACCTTTACAATCTTGCCTACTTTATTTCCCACTCCCCACAAATGTCAGTTATCCTGAGTCACTGATTTCTTTTGCTGTGTTTCATTCAGGGCAGAATTACATAATGTAAGTTGTACTTCATGCACACGTGTGTAACTTGGAGCAATTATCTTCTGTTTTCTTAATATTTATTTGTTTTTGAGTGCTCAGAGACTTTTGCCTGCATTAGTTTGTATTCCTTACAATGGCTCCTAGGGCAATGAGGCTGAGAGAGAGGGACTCAGGGATTCATAACAGAAGAAGTACTTCACAGCTCAGTTGCCTAACCGTGACACTCTCTGAATTTTTTATAGGCATAATATCTTACTCACAGCTAAAAGACGGAATAAGACCAAACTAGACATGCTGCAAGAACACCGCTTGCAAAGAGTTTATACTGTATACAGGTAGTCCTCGGCTTACGACCATAATTGAGCCCAAAATTTCTGTTGCTAAGCAAGACAATTGTTAACTGAGTCTTGCCCCATTTTACGACCTTTCTAGTTAAGTAAATCACTGCAATTGTTAAGTTGGTAACATGGTTGTTAAATGAATCTGACTTCCCCATTGATTTGCTTGTCAGAAGGTTGTAAAAATAAAAATAAAAATCACATGACCCGTCATAAATCTGAGTCAGTTGCCAAGCTTCTGAATTTTGATCACATGACCATGGAGATGCTGTAAAGGTCGTTAAGTGTGAAAAAGTCATAAGTCACTTTTTGCAGTGCTGCTGTAACTTTGAACAGTCACTAAACAAATTGTTGTAAGTCAACAATGTACTTCTGTGTGTGGTTTTAACTCTTGATATATATGAAATGGTCTGACTAGTAAGAGGATGGAAAATCAAGAGAAGGCATAAAATGTCAGTAGAATGCAAAGAAAAGAGAACAGTCAGCTCAGCAGAATGGGAGAACTTCACCTGGAACAGGAGCTGAGGATGTGATGGCCCTATATTAATTCTTGACATCTCTGATTTCTGTTTTTTTTTTTTTCAAGAACTGGCCTGGAGGGTATACAAAAAAAATACCCTTTCTTGCCTGAGATTCTAGCTTTCCCAATCTGATGCTTCCTTGCTAATGTAAAATACAGACTAATTTGATAGAACATTGATAAAATAAAAAAATAAGTTGAGTTTATTAAGACTATGATCACAACAGAAGTGGTTTGCCGCTGACTTTTTCTGAAATGTTTTTACAGTTTCCCAGTGTAATCTACAGCCTGGATGGAATTCTTGAATGGCTTCCCCCCCATATTAACTAGGGTCAGTCTGATTTAGTTTCTGAGAACAGCCCAGATGGACTCAATGCTGCCACCTGAAGAGGAGTTAGCATACAGTATATGAAGCCCTTATCATTTTTAGTTTGCTCAGAAAGACAGAGAGTATTTTAAATTGGACGAAAGTTTACTGTTAGAATAATAGAACATTCAAACTTATGGGAACATGAGATGGTCTTTTAGCCTTTTCTTTAAACATTATTTCAAGCTAGTGGCTATTATGGCACACTTTAGAGTGTCCACGACTTCTGGTGGCAAGCTGTTCCACTGATTAATTGTCCTCACTGTTAGGAAGTTTCTCCTTAATTCCAGGTTGCTTCTTTCCTTGATTAGTTTCCTCTGAGGCCTAGAACAGACTTCTGGAAGCAACATTAACGCACATCCGGTGGGCCGTTCTAGGGCTGGGAGACCTCTTCCAGGCCTCCGAGGCCTAGAACGAACTTCCAGAAGCAGCATGGGTTCAGCTGGTTCTCCTAAACTCAACAAAATTTAGCCAACAGTTCTACTGAACCGGTGCAAACTGGCTGAATCCCACCACTGGTTTGATCCCTCTCTTCTTTGTGGCAGCCCCTCAAATACTGGAATATTGCTATCATGTCGCCTTGCTTCTTCTTTTTTTTAGACTAGCCAAAACCAAGTCCTGCAGCCGTTCTTCATATGTTTTAGTTTCCAGGCATTTGATCATCTTAGTTGCGCTTCTCTGAACTTTTTCCAAAGTCTCAATATCTTTTTGTAGTATGGTGACAAAAATTGGTTGCAGTATTCCAGGTGTGGTTTTATTAGGGTTTTATAAAGCGGAACTAATACTTTGTGTGATCTTGATTCTATGCCTCTGCTTATACAACCCAGGATTGTATTAGCTTTTTTGGCTGCTGCTGCACACTGCTGGCTCATAGTCAAGTGATCGTCCACTAGGACTCTAAAGGTCCCTCTCACAGTTACTGTGTTTGAGCCAGGTCTCGCCTAATCTGTACTTATACCTTGGATTTTTCTTGCCTAAATGTAAACCTTTGCTTTTCTCCATGTTAAAACTCATTTTGTTGGAAAGGGCCCATTGTTCAAGTTTGTCAAGATCTTTTTTGATCCTGATCTTGTCTTCTGGGGTGTTGGCTATTCCTGACAGTTTAGTGTCATCTACAAATTTGATGAGTTCCCCTTCTATTCCCTCACCTAAGACATTAATGAAGATATTAAAGAGTACTGGGCCTAAGACAGAGCCTTGTGGTATCCTACTGCTTACTTCTCTCTATGTGGATGTAGTGCCATTGAGAGCTACTTGCTGAGTACAGTTTGTCAGCCAGCTGCAGATCCATCTGGTGGTGATGTTGTCTATGCCACCTTTTTCTAGCTTACTAAGCAGCAGTTTGTGCTCTGCTTTGTCAAACGCAGTGGACTCTGCAATCCACAGGACAAAGACATATACCTCTGTATTTCAGCAATCCATTATCAGCAGAGTGTTTTTTTTCCCCTTCTATACTTCTCTGCTGGTGGTTTATATTGGTTTGGAGTTTTTTATTTGATTATGCCTTTTATTTGTGGAGGAGAGTACTTTTTAAAATGCATTGTCTTTGCTGGGGGGCGGGGGTGGCATTTGCATGCTATTACTGTAGATTTCATTTCAGTCTTTGTTGAGTCCGTCGCGAAATGGTAAGACACGAGAAGCAGTTGTAGTTCTCAGGAAACCTTTTATTCTTCGGTTCAGCTTACATTGGAATATGGCGGCAAAAGCCCACACCTCACAGTCTCCTTTTATAGGACTTTCCCTGGTCAATGTGTTACTTTTTGCGCGCCAGCACTTGTGCATGCGCACAAGCACTGGCGACAGCCTGTCTGGTCGGGCAGCTTGCACCTGCCCGGAACCGCCTGCAATGCCCTGAGCCTGCTTGCAAGGCTCAGGACATAACACCCCTTTCCCCCGGGCTAAAACTACGACCAATGCCATAATAATACACAACCCACTCTTAGTATAATGCTCTGCTCCTCCGATGTTCGGAGTTCCCCCGTTTCCATTGCCTTAGTGTTTTCTACCCTTCTACTGGCTCTGTTTAGCCAATAGTGTTATGTAATCCTCTAAGTACTTAGGAGATTTCCTTGCTCTCTGTGACCTCCTAAGCTCTGGGTGTCTGACAGGTACCCCCTGACTGAGGGGTGATGTGTGTCTGTTCCCCTTGTTATGCCTTGGTGACTCCCAAGGACTGTGCTCCAATGCCTGGCCTGCTTGCTTGCCCACCGGGCTCGTCAGGCCAGGGCTTCTTCCAGTGTATGACCTGGTTGTCCCGCCTAGCTGTAGGCTCTCTGGCCCTTCTAAGTGACTGTCACTGTTGGGCGTTTCTGTAGAACCTCCTAGGTCCGTCCAAGACCTGTTAGGAGGCTATCTATCCCCTGAATTCCGTTCTGTGTCCGGGCTTGTGTGGGTTTCAGTACTGTCCCAAAACTCAGTTGTCCCCTGAGGGTAGTCAGAGGTGTTGTATTCGGGATTTGGTTCCTCGACCACCTCCCTGTGTGTTTGCCCTCTTCTAGGGACAGGGTTGAAGTCAGGCCAACTAGGAGGAGTGTGTGCCAGCTCTCTTGCAGGGAATGGATTGTTGGGATACTCCTGGGTATTCTCTCTGACTGGAGTACTGAGTGATATGGGTGAAAAGTGATCATGCCCCTGGGGTGACTCCCTGGCTGGAGTAGGCATTGATGCCTGAGTTCTAATTGGGCTCCATGACTTCCTGTTGGGAGCAATTGTGGAATTTTGGGATGGGCCGTTTGTGGCTCCCTCATTGGTACAGGGCAGCATTCCATGCCCCTCCCTTTGCCCAAAGGGCTCCCCCTCCCCCCCCTGGAAAAGACCCAGGCATCTCAGCGGGAAGGTCCCGTCTAGGGCGAAGTTGGTCAATGTGCCGACGCAGGACATGACTGTTGTCCAGGGATACCTCGTAGGATAGAGGACCTGTGACCCTGGATATAGATGTGGG